TTGGCAAAAATGAGTATCGGCATTGAATGTTATAGGCCTATTGTACCTTGTATGTGTCAATTACATGTACATATGGAAATTAATATAGTATTCCACTTTTGTTCTTCTGTGAAAATCAACACACATAAATTTTAAAGAAATACAGCGTTTTCATTATATGACCAATAAAACTGGACATTTAACATAAGGCTTATCTTGAGTGGATATTCATAAAATAAACTATTCTAATTTAGATCTAATATAGGCAAAGAACCCCCACCACACCCTGACAGAAGAGGCTCCATGCCTTGATATCCAAGGAGTAGACTACAGTGTTTGATATCAGTGGGCCTCTTACAGCAACACCAATAAAAACTGCCAGATGTTTTTGTAAATTTGGAAAATTGGCAACCATTTGCAAGCAATGCCCAGACATTCCAATTGCCCCATTTGTACCATGTTCAGTGCCAGACACCAGCTTTGGTAAGTTGTAACCCTTGACAAAATTTTGTTTAACTTTACAATTATTGAGTATGAAAAAAATAAATATAATATAGTTTGGCAATATTAGCAGAAGACATGTGTACATTCAGTGACCATGTTTCAGTAATTTTTGGATTTAGATAATTCCGTGGCAAATTATACAAATATTTATGATGGGTAGGTTTGTATAATTAGGTTATTATAATACTGCATGTATGTAACGTCACATTTCATTGAATAATCCATGACGTTTATATAGTTTCATATACACGGCTGCTGCAAGTTATTGAGAAATCTCGCTTTTTTCTCAAAAAAGGAGGTCTGCTGTATTATTTAAGTTCATTATACATGTAAATATTCCTGACAGATTAAATGACCATATATAAACGGTTGTTTGCAATATAACCCTAGCCTAGCGACTCGGGTTATATTTTCAAAACAACTGTTTATATAGGGCCATATAACCTGTAAAAATCTTTATAACTAATAATATAATTATAAACGTTTTATGTATGTATATGATCTGTAAATACACAATGTATGCATAACTCTAATAGAACTTATTCACTTTATTACGAAGTTGAATATTTTAGTTGATTTCCATGCTGAATTATTTATATCCTAATGATAATAATGGTTGAAGCTGGAAACTTTGATTATAATTACTCCTATGTTGGCTTCCTTGGTAAACTATTAGTACTGAGTCTGATTTAGAGCGGTAATGAAAGCATCAAATAGACTAGCTGAAATGTTGGAAAAGATTCACTATATTTGAATGAAATTTTAAAGCATAAATGCATCACAACTTATATACCATAACTGAGAAAAAAACTAGACACCAGGTTGTTCAATGGAAAATTTTGAAAAAAAAAACTTGTTTACATTGTCTTTTAATTTTTATTCTTAGGGTTCAAGACTCATGCAGAACTAGCCAAGGTGGGTGGAGAAAACTTTCAGATATAGAGGCCTTCCATGAAGTAATGTGCAGTTGGGCTCCGAAATCTGTACATTACATGCATACCTACATGGAATCGAGGTTTGTTTATGTCTGTTGTTTTGTTTTCGTGCCATTTTATCCTTACTGAAGGAACAAACAGGAATTTTAAAGTAAACAATATGCACCCCAATAAAACCATATACTTTGAATATGCTGACAGGCAAAGCATTGTCAAATGAAAGAATTGAAAGTCCCTGGTTGGATTCCAATCATGATAATTAGGGACATGATTTTTATTTGAAATTGGGTGACTTTAAACTTAAATACTTGTTAAGGGGAGCGGTGGCCTAGTGGTTAAACCTAGATATCATGGGTTCAGAGCCTTACTTCGGAGCATGACTATGTTTTTACATATGACACAATTGCTGGTTTGCTCAGGAGGCGGACTCGAAAGTGATTAATATAAGTTAAGAAATCTTGATTATTGATATCTGCGTCATTATAAAAAAAAAGATTTAGTGGGTTTTTTTTGAGTTGGCAAAGTTAATTGTTCTTCAAGACTTGTTACTTCTGTTTCTTTTTTTGTAACTGAATAGGTTGTGCAAAAATGAATATCCAAAATATATTTTCTTAGGTCTAAAGTTAGTGCACTCCACTTTAATGAAACTGCTAGGGGGGATACACGGACAACCAAGAGTGGAATGCAACAGTACACAATATCTTATCCAAAAAACAGACAGGGTGAGCCTGTTGTCAAGGATGTAAAAACTGAACAGACATTTGGTAAGTTAAATGCAAAGTAGCCATTGGACGCAAAATATATCTATATACATTAATTTGTCAAAGTAATGCCACACTTTCTTTTAATACTTTGTATATCAATACTTTTGAAAAGTCTTAGCCCTTGACATGATGAATTTCTTAAAAATACCGTCAGCTTTGATATGTGCCAAGGTAATTGGTCAGCACAGATCAAATGGGTAAGATAGCGTAGTTTTTCTATCGTGACATGAAATATACTGCATCCACGAAGAAGAGAAAATATAAAACAACGGAATTAGTTGATTTTAAGAATAATTTTATTTTTGTACAATTATCTCTACAACTTTTCATTTGATAAAGTATAAATTCAACTCTACATATAGCTTCTTTTATCATTCATAGTCAATGTGAAGATAATAGTTTTAATTCAGTTTCAAAAAGGATACATTACAGATTTGATGATGATGTACGCAAAGAACTGCGTTGAGAAACACATCAATACAGATTGGCCAGTGAAAAAAAAAAGAAAGCAAAAGAAAGACCATTACCATTGGCAACAGAGTACTCCTAAAAGACTTAATTTAAACCTAAATCAACTTTAAGTGAAAAATCACATTTCAAGATTTAACCGCTAAAATTAAAGCTACATGCCTCCAGATGAGCCAAAATATTTTTTAAAAAACTTGAGAAAATGTACTTAGCTTTAAAAAAAAGGTAAAATATTCCAAATTCAAGTAAATTATTTTACTTGTCATATGCAATTAAATGAAGTTTTCATAGGATAATGTAACTATATTTCTACTGCATTACCAATGCAGTAAGGGCTATTTTAGCATATTTTAACTTTTTTATTGTTATTTATATTGGTTGTAAGTGTCCTTGATAATGTGTAATTACTTCCTTTTGGTTTCATGAAAATATTTTTTCTGTAAACACATTTTCAAATATTTCATGAAAATTAGCATGCCTAGCTGCTCTGAGAAAACAAATTGATCCACAGCCCACAGACAAGTTACCGAACTATTCTTTGTCATTAAAAATGGGATGGCTGTTTTTGTGTGATACTTTCTGGTCAAGGTGACCTTAAATGTGGAAATGTATGAATGCCTAAATTTCTAAATAAACTTTTGAAGCTAAAGATAAAATTTTAAGTGCTGCATTACATAAGTTTCTGTACAATTAAGGTGACCCTTTCATTGAAATAACAATAACATTTAAAAGAACAAACATTGGCATGTACTGTTATTTCTTTTTGTTTGTTAACAAATATATTGTAGTGAAATTTTTATTGTGTCCATTGAAGATAATAATTTAAAAACGCTAGACTTGTATTTGTTAGTTAACAACGACCAAAATTTTTGGTAAGAACATAACTTAGACGAAAGTTTATCATAATCATGGCTTCCCTTATGGCTTAATCGACTCGAATATCTGTTTATTTGTTTTGTACCAGCACCACCATTTAATGTGAACCTTAACTAAATTTTACAAATACCCTTTATAGGAATTTAAAGTTCTGGCCTCCTTTTTTCCTCAGCATTATCGATACTTAAATGTTTATTTCATCTGACCCTTATACAATGCATTTGTAATTTTTTCCAAATCTAAATAGTAATATTTAATACAATACCTTTCATTATTATACTAGGAATTAGAAAATCGTTTTATTCCACTATCATGTATTATCCTAGTTGAGCCACTCCTGTCTCAATAGACAGCTCTTGTCAATGTGTCTTGTACAGAAGAACATGAATGTTACTTTCAACTTGTTTGCATCTTTTTTAGCTCGACTATTTGATAAGAATAAGTAGAGCTATTGTAGTCACCCGAGCGTCGGCGTCGGCATCCGCGTCGGCGTAACCACTTATGCTAAAAGTTTTTGTAATACCTCAAATATTTTCAAAGTCCATTGACATATGGCTTTGAAACTTTGCACACTTGTTCACCATCATCACCACAACCTGTAGACAGAAGGAGGTAACTGTATCAAGCATTTTGACAAAATTATGCCCCTTTTTCGACTTAGAATTTATGTTAAAGTTTTTGTAATACCTCAAATATTTTCAAAGTCCATCGACATATGGCTTTGAAACTTTGCACACTTGTTCACCATCATTACCCCAACCTGTAAACAGGAGGTGGTAACTGTATCAAGCATTCTTTTTTTACTATCAAGCAATAAGAATAGTCGAGCGTTGCTGTCCTACCGACAGGTCTTGTTTGAAATGAAATAAATATTTTAGTTTCAACAGTTTGTTCTTTTTAAGATCCTGTTTGTAAGATGTATAATTATATATAAAAAATTAATTGACAGACTTGGCACATACATATACTACCTTGACCCTGGGATTTTTCCCTATTCCATCAATACTATCCAGTTAATACTGACCACTACAGAAAGGAGAGAGTGAAACATTGTTATGCGTCATGTATAAGAAAGACTTGGCATTATATAAAAGGATCTATTGTGGGCAATTTTAGTAGGTCATATTATGTGCGTTTAAAGATGAGCATTAGTTGGTAAAAGGTTTCAATTTTTGATAATTTGGGAAGCTGGATCATAATTTGAGTCATTGGTGCAAACTTTAACATTTTTAATGGGAATACCACTCACCATATGGGTGTTTATTGACTGATGGTCAGCATTTCATAAGGAGCAATAAAACATGGACATGGTCACATTACTTGGCTTATTGCTGAACAGTTTGCTTTAAGTGTAAAATCGATTTTGACTATTTTTGCAAAGGTTTTAGAAGGGGAAAATAACTTATTCAATAACTAAAATGATAAACTTGTGTAAATTTATTTCCACAATGTACAATACAATTTACAGAAACATCTATTGTGGGTATTCAAACCCACTGTATTGCGCTGAAGGGAACTGTGTTCTTATGGCGTTGACTGCACATGCAGTAATAACACGCCTACAATTCTTTGGAAGTAACCCGTAGACCCATCTGGTAAAACGCCTGCAGGCAAGGTATCGATACAACCTGAAAACATAATCAAAAAATTATCATTGAGATAAATATTCCTGTGATTTGAGGGAACTTTCTTTAAAACTAACATATCATTTGAAATTGATAAATAAAGCCTGTAAATACAATTACGATTAAGGTGCAGTCATCGAATTTAGCACTGGCCCGATGGTCCATGGTCAGCGAAAATTTTAAGTAAATTTAATTAAATATATACATGTAGTAGAATAAATTCAAAACTGGAATTCGGGCTTGTCAATTCAAAATCTTAAATTCATTGACTGAAGTTGAACTTCTTTGAAAAACAAATACTTATTACTGTACACTGTTTGAATGTTTAACTCACTCATGAATTTCTTGATTTTCTTCTCTTGGCCCATGGTCATGAACAAACTCGTAATAGGAGGTTTTCAACACATGGATGTTCAGGCAGTTTACCTGGAACCCCTCCTGAAGGGTAATGCAGGGTACCCCTTCTGCTTCTGTCTTCCCACCAACAATGTTTGTCGATTGACAGCACTTCCTCTCATGGGCTGAAGGCATATTAACACAACATCCACACCTGAAAAAAGTAATAACTGAATAAAATGGGTGCGAGTGAAATTATTCAGGCGTCCGATAAAAGGATTTATTTTAGTCTAAAAAAATCAGATTATCGTACAAGTCAATTCTTATTTTTGTCAACATGTATTAAATTAATAATTTTCATTTAAGTTTACTTAAATTATTATCTATGCATACATGTGCATAACTGCCCGTGTAGCTGTCATGGCTGTAGGTATGTTTGATTATCATTATGTTCGACAATTCTTGCAAATTCGTGGACTTGTAGTTATTGATAGATTCTAATTGAATAATTGCAGTAAAATAGTGTGATAAAATGTAAGATTACTGTCAACAATTAAAAAAACAATTTACACACAAAAACACTGACCAATCATCTACGTTTCCGATGTAAGAATCATCAGAACTGTTGTCTAAAGAGTCAGAGTCAGACTCGCTCTGCTCTGCTTCCTGATTCTGGATTTCAATTCTTTGTTCAAACATATACGGTCGTATTTCATGGACATCGACCTCATAAAGCTTCGATTCGTCAGAAAAATCAATGAGTTTACTAAATAGTAGCAGTGTTAAAAGTTAAATGATCCGTGATTGTTTACAGTTTCGTATGTCGGCGTTTCCTAATTTTAACAATGACGTCACAACAAAGGGAAGTAATTCACACAAGCTTGTAAAAAAACGGTGCGTTATGCGAACTTTTACCTGGTGAGCGGAGCGTTAAAATGTTGCAAACGAGTTTAATATTCTATTTACGTAAACAAAATAGTTAAATTCGACCTTTAAAATTGAACAATACATTTTACTGCATGAAAGTCCATTTTCTAAAATTTAATCAGTTAATATCTTTAGGGATTAAAGTAGGTCTATGTATACAGTATATAATTTGAGATTTATTCACATAAATCATTTACATTTTATTGATATTAATCATGAAGAGAATAATCCAGTATTATATATTAGATCATCATAATTGATAAATGGAGGAAATTCAATTTTTTTCTATAAATCAAAGTTTTTCAATACACTTGGTTATGTGCTGAAAAGCCCTGCAACAATCTAGTTTTATTTTCATATGAAAATAAATATTACATGAGTGACAGGATCGAGCCACAAGTGAAGTAAAATAGTTTTCATATTTGATTATTGATATCACAAGATGAAAATAAATAGTAGATTACAGAAAAAACTTGAATTTTCTATTATACTTTTCTTCTCTTTTTTGACCTTATAATTTTTTCTAATATGCTGTGTATTCTGATTCAGAGTTTAAAATTAGTAAATTTTCAACATTGTATTCCAGTCTGCTCTGCTGATATTCTTAGTTACCAAGATTAGGTGTAATGTAATAATCAGCCACCCCCCCCCCCCCGGCTGTCAATAAGAATTTAACAATCTCAACACTTTCTAATACGCTGTGTATTCTAATTTAAGAGTCGTGTAAATTTTCAACATATTCATTTGGCCATCTTATCTCCGCTGGTATCCATAGTTGCCAAGGCAAGTAGTAATCATCCCCTCCCCTCGTCACCAAAAAGTTCATGTTCAAGTATTGATTTTCTCGTTTATATGAATTTATAAATATTAAAAGTAGAAGTCTAAATTGAAAAGAAATACATGTATATTATTAGTGTAGACCTCAGAAGAATTTGAGTTTAATGTCAACCAAAATTGTTAATTGATTTTACAGTATAATTATAATGATAAATAAAAAAGACATTTTTAAAACGATGATCACCTAAATCATCATCAGTCTATCACCACCAGAAACATCATCATCATCACAGCCACTATCATCAAAATGTCATCACCCTATTAATTATAATCATAATCTGAATGTCATCACTTATTTATTCAGGCTCAAAAAAGGAAAAATCGTCGTAATCATTTGTGGTCAGTAGTACTTATAATGGTTTAGAGTTGGGTACCGCCAGAAAGAAAATACCACGGTATACCACGTTTTTCCCTAAAAAACACGGTATAAACCATGGTATACCACGGATTTTCATTGTACGCTATAGGTTTATTTTTTATCTCTAAAATAAGTATCAAGGTAGGCTGGTATAGAATTTCAAATATTAAAATTAGCAGATCTATAAAATATAGATTAATCTAAGTATCATTTAACTTTTTTTCAATCAGGTACTTTCGACATCAAATAAGCTGCGATGTTGACAATCATAAATTAATTGGGTCATGATCAGTTCTTGTTTTTGGCTCACCTGTCACAAAGTGACATGGTGAGCCTTTGTGATCGCTTTTTGTCCGGCGTCCGTCCGTAAACTTTTACTTTAAACGACATCTCTTCATCAACCGCTAAGCCAATTTCATCTAAACTTCACAGGAATGTTCCTTTTATAGTCAACTTTAAAAATTGTTCAAATAGATTAATTCCAAGCAGAAAATATATCTTCTTTTAGAAAACCGAAAGAGCTAGAGCTTAAATTTTTGGCTTGAAATATCATCTAGTCAGTGTCTACCAAGTTTGCTCAAATAAATGCCCTGGGGTGAAAATTGGCCCCGCCCGGGGGTCATTTATTTTCCGTATTTGTATATAGTAAAAAACTTAAAAAGCCTCAGTCGTTACCTCTCTCAACCGTTAAGTTTTACAGCGGTCGACTAAAGTCACTGGCTAATTGGCACGTTATTTAATAAGTAAATAAAATAAGATATTGATAAAAAGTGTATCATACTCAAACATGGCACTATCACTTCAGTTAAACATTTATTTTAATTCCTTAAAGCTCGTTGAAATGTTGTACATCAGAAAGTTATTTTTGTGTTGCCTTGAAAAAGGCGACAAATAGGGGCTACTTTTGTCGGCGATGTCGGCGTCCCCTTAAACTTGTCCGGAGCATAAGTCAGTCATTATAAGTCGGATTGACTTCAAACTTGGTATGCCTGTTTCTTATAATGTCTTAAAATGTCTGAAGTGCAGTGCACAAGAACCGGTACTCTGCACTTCTAAATGTTTGAGTTATTGCCCTTATTAATTTTCATACTTTATTTTTGTCCTGGCCATTTCTCCTAATGTATAACAGCTATGAACTTGACACTTCATAGGATGATATATCTCATTTAGAAGAAGTGCAGTGCACAAGAACCAGTGCTCTGCACTTCTTATGTTTTGAATTATTGCCCTTTGTTAATGTTCATACTTTATTTTTGTCCGGGCAATTTCTCCTAATGCATAAAAGCTATGGACTTGAAACTTCATAGGATGATAGATCTCATTAAGAAAAGGTGCAGTGCACAAGAGCCGGTACTGTGCATTTCTTATTTTTTTAGTTATTGCCATTTGTTAATTTTCATACTTTATTTTGTGCAGGTCATTTTTCATAAATTATAAAAGCTATAGACTTGAAACTTCATATGATGTCAGATCTTATTGATAAGAAGTGCAGTGCACAGAAACTGCTGCTCTACATTGCCCTTTGTTAATTTTCATACTTCATTTTTGTCCTGGCCATTTCTCCTAAACTATTTTGTTAACAAGGTGACACATCAGACTCGCGGAGTTCTAGTTATTAGAAAATTTGAAAACAGTGTGATGTTGTTAAAACAAAAACAAAATACACAAAAACAAGTCTAAAATTTTCCATTGCTGAATAGGCGAATGCACGCGGCGACTACTTAGACTGATTTTCAGTTGCCGATTTACCAAGGTAAATGTGTTACGATTTATTTGAAATACTGTAATCCTTTTGGACAAAAAATAATTTCAAACACTAATGGATTTTTTTAAATTTCAATCTGTTTCGGAAACCAAAACAAACATGTACCCCAAAAGCAAATTAAAATTATCACATGGAAAACCTGACTGACCATGTAACTGCTTAATTAATATGCATTAGATGAACAAACATTATTTTTAATCCAGTTTATACGTCGTTCTACAATTAGTTAATTGCCATGCGCATACACTAAGTATATTACGTAAGGAAACCCCCTAGCCTGGTTGGCCGCTTTTTATGTAAATACTAAAAATAGTAACACACTAATTTAATGCATTGAATGCCCTCGTGAATGATCAATATTTACAATATTACACTTAACTGTAGTTCTCGTATCAAATTTGCGATTTTTGGACAAGCATATATAAAGTCGACAATTCCTGCTTCTTCCACTGAGATTATGCAAGTCGACAATTCTGGCTTACATGTGTTAATTGATAAAGCATTCAATTTTTGCTGAGAACTATCGTGGAATGATAAAAGTCAGCGAAAGGTTAATTCAAAGAAATATTGATATAGACAACAGGAAAGATTTCCTTTTGTACATTTTACGGATCTGTAATTGCTTTAAATTAGAGCTAAAAGTACTGGTTTTTCCAGGTCTGTACCGCGGTACATACTGCAGATGTCTCATACAGTGGTTTACCAGTATACTAGTTGAACCGCGCACCTCTACTGAATGTGGTTATCATTAGAAAATTCACTATCGCCTCTATTACCATCAAGATCTAAATTATCAACTCTTTCATCATTATAATAGGAGTACTAACAATAATCATTGTTTTCATAAATCATCATTTTCATCATGATTATCATCACTTCCATCATCAAAATTATAATTTAAAATCCTCATCATTATCAAAATTAAATTCATAATTATCATTTTATATATTTATATTATGTTTATGTGCTTGACAGATATATAGTTATAAAAGTGTAAGAATTGTATAAAAGTGTCAGAAACTTTCCAAAAGAATTGTATAAAAAACGAGCGTTTGCTATACGATAGCATTAATGCCTCAAGTCAATGGAACAGCTTAAGCGTTGTACACGACGTTGATAATAACTATGATTTTAATTATCGAATCTCAATATCATCAATGAAGATTTCTCGGGGGTAATATCTGCTTTATATACAAGTATGATCACATTACTTGAAAGTACTGTGTCAGGTCCTTTTCTGGGATCAAGCTTTCAAAATCTTTCGGCCAATGCAACCAACGTACTAGTAGTTCCTTTTGTTTGCTTTGCGTCCTTTTCTTTAATATTTGTTTTCAACGTGGTATTCTGTAATTTTGTCCACACTGACTGTCTGCAATTCTTGTTCGTAAAACGTACCATCATTTTCTCTTCATTGGCCCAGTCAATAAAGGTATATACGCATACATTGTCTTGTTTGAAACGGCTTTTGATTTTGAATATTTCGCCAGTCCACTTCTGAGAGTACTCCCTGTCAAACACACTTTTCACGTGCGATACTCGTACTGTCTGACCTAACTTGAACCTGTAGTGTCTGATCTTGTGTTTGGTTGGCCTGCTTTTGGTCCTAAGTAATTCTCTGATATATACTCTCTGCTCGCCTTTCTATTCATTTGACTTGCTCCTACATATCTCTTGATTACCGATACTGAACCTGCATCTGTAGCTAGCCATGTTACTTGGTCGAGTATCAGACCAAAGTTTGTGTCTCGCTGTCTTAAATACAACAGGTTCTCTCCTAATTGGACAGTTTCCTCTTGCATTTGATTGCAAGTTATTTTTTCGCTCACGACTCCATGACCTATGAATAAAAAGTCAGTGAAATAGATTCATAAATGAGTAACTTATGATGGTTTCAATATAA